ATCAGTGCCCATTGCCGGTACCAGAGGATTTATTTGCGAAACTGAATGGGGGTAAGTATTTTGCGAAATTAGACTTATCAGAAGCTTATCTACATATTCCAGTAGCGGATGAGTGTAAGCATTACTTGACAATAAACACTCACAAGGGGTTGTTCCGATATAACAGACTTCCTTTTGGTGTAAAGACCGCCCCTTCAATCTTCCAGCAAGTTATGGACACTATGTTACAAGACATTCCTGGTACCGCGGCTTATCTCAATGATATATTGTTCATGAGTACAGACTATGCTGATTTAAAGAATAAGGTAGATGCGGTTCTCAGACGCATAGCAGATTACTGATTCAGACTGCGTGCCAAAAAATGTGATTTTTACATGAAGCAAGTCCGGTATTTGGGATTCATAATCGATAAAAACGGGAGAAAACCTGATCCTGAAAATGTCGAAGCCATTAAGTCCATGCCTCCACCGACTGATGTATCAACTTTACGTTCTTTCTTAGGAATGGTTAGTCATTATGGAGTTTTTCTTCCAGATCTGCATCGCCATCATGCTCCTCTTAGTTGCTTACTGAAAAAGGATACTAAATGGCTCTGGTCAACTGAGAGCCAGGAAGCATTCCTAAAACTGAAGCAGCTTCTATCATCGAACCTTCTCCTTACACACTATGATCCTGATCTTCCAATTATAGTCGCTGCAGATGCGTCGAACTAAGGAATTGGAGCAGTAATTTCACATGCCTACCCTGACGGGTCTGAAAAAGCAATCGCTCACGCTGCGAGATCGCTGATCATGACTGAAAGAAACTACAGTCAAATAGAGAAAGAAGCCCTTACGATTATATTTGCTATAAAAACGTTCCACAAGATGTTGTTTGGCAGACAGTTCACCTTACTTACAGACCATAAACCGTTACTGGCAGTTTTTGGATCTTAAAAAGGTATGCCGGTATATACAGCAAACCGGCTACAGCGATAGGCTATCATACTGCTGGGCTATGATTTCAAGATAAAAAATCAACCAACAACGGATTTCGGACTGACAGATGCACTCTTGAGATTGATTGGTCTGCATGAAAAACAAGAAGTAGAGGTGCTTGTAGCTGCTGTAGATGTCGAGGCCGAGGTTCACAAAATATTGTCAGACGCAGTTTCCGGACTCCCGGTCACATTCGAGTCCATTAAAGCGGCTAGCAAGAAGGATAATGTATTGAAGATTGTTCACCATTGCATAGTAAACTAGTGGCCTTCATCTAGACTACACGGAGAACTCTTACAATATTTTCGTCGACAAGAGTCATTAACAGTTGTTGATTCATGTATAATGTTTGGCCATCGTATCGTTATCCCCAGAAATCTTCGATATCAAGTCATTAAACAGTTCCACAGCGGGTATCTGGGAATAAGTGAAATGAAGTCACAAGCTCGCAGCTATGCATACTGGCGGTCAATGGACCATGATATAGAGCAAAAATGTTGCAGTTGTTGGTCCTGTCTAGAGGCTGCGAAGAACCCAACGAAAGCTGAACCACAACCATAACCTAAACCGGACGGACCTCGGCAAAGAATACATGCTGATTTCGCCGGACCAACAATATAAGACAGGAATTACTTAGTTGTTTTAGATACTTTCACAAAATGGCCAGAAGTATATGACATGTGAATACGACTTCAGAGAGTACAATAAGAAGATTGTCAGAATTGTTTGCTTGTTTTGGGGTTCCAGAGATCTTAGTGACCGACAATGGTACTCAGTTTATGTCATCCGCCTTCAAACGCTTTTGGAGTGAAAATGACATATTGCATCTACAATCTCCTCCATACCATCCTCAGTCGAATGGCCAGGCAGAAAGATTCGTGGATACGATTAAAAGAGCTCTGGTCAAAGGGGGAGGTGAGGGTATCCCGGAACAAGTGATTAATAAGTTCACAGAAAACCAGCTCCCATTTCAATAGCTCGTAGATTAATCTCAGAAGAACCATCATGAGCGCAAATATCGAAAAGAAAAACGACGCAGAGAGAAAGCTGTACATCCCTGGAGAGAAATGGGTCGCAAGAGGACACGCAAGCTTCAGGTGGATCCAAGAAAAAAATCTTACACAACGAACTTTAAAGGGGGGAGGTGTGACGACAGACCACCGGTGAACTCGAGGAAGCTGTAAGAGGCTCAGAAAGAGCCGAAGACGTCTCATCCAATCACCTTTCGGAAGAATGTTCTAGAATTCCATCGTGTAGCTTTCCGATTGGATAGTGCTAATAATCCCCTGTATGCAGATTAGAAGACTGTAATGATGATTTCGTTCTCACTAAAAACTATAAATACCTGACAATTTTGTACTATGATTGATACTGTTTGGAATGATATTCCTTTCGTTAGTCTTCTGTCTTCTTATTGCGACTTGGAAGGGTTTTGGTGTTCTAGTGCTCCGTTATACGCGGTATATCGAGAAATCAGTTTTCAAGATATAACTATAATGTGCCTTCAACGTAAGATCTTATCGATTAGGTAGTCACACCATGACAGGTCTGCAGTTTCGGGGTCAGCTCTATTATTATAGGAGAAAAGATAAATGTGCCAATATAGAACGAGCCTATAATTCCGCACACACATACAGAGCCTTAAATATGGAATTATATGTGCCTCACAATTTCGTGTCAGTTGATGTTTTTGTCCACCTGTTAACGATCAAAACAATCTAGCATATATTCTCTTGTTTGTAACGGGAGTAGAACTGGCAAATCGTAAAACCGTGCTCGGCAATGATAGCTAATCACCGTCGTCCAGGAAGGTGCTGTTATACAATTGTATGGAATGTTCCTTATTTTCGCAGGTACATATATTTTTAGAAGTATTACGATATGTATCGTTGAACCTTGCTTCAAGTGTATATGGGTTCAATTTTGACACTACTAGGGCCAACCGTTTGATCTTTGTCACTCAAAGCTCTTATTACCTTGTCTCAGTAATTTTTTCATGCCTGTTACAGTTAAGAAATTTTCTGTACGTAGTAAGTATTCTGTACGAAGGAATGCTTAAGTAAAAGCAAGTAGTTTTTCCATTAGATATGGATACTAATTAGTAAGCAACACTAGTGTAAAGTTAGGTTATCCGCAACAGCGAGCACAGATGGCTAACTACAGAAAGCTTATTTGCTACACTGAAGTTAGTTCAAAAACGTAAGGTCAGAATTACGAAGCAATCCTTGAGAAAATCTATTCAAATTGTGGAAAACTAAATAACATCTTCCATATATATCGGTATTTAACATTCTGTTTGAGGGTTATCAAACAGAATATAAGCTGATAATGCATAGTACATAACCAGACAAAATCGCCGTATACTTTTATTAAAACATCAATCATTACACTTTTGCCTAATGTATGTAGCATAAAACTTGACGGATACATCATTGCGAATCTGAAGATAATGGAACATGTATATGACATAAAGATTAGATTTGTAATATATGACTCTTACTTTGTATCAGTAAGTTAGATATAAGTTGTTACTTAATACAAGAAAATAGATATACTTCCTAATCCTTGAGCTAGACAGAAACACGTGATATACTACACAAACCTAGAAACTGAAAACAATCTTCGTTAATAATGTAAGTTGATTACAAGCGTACTAATATATGGAGTTATTAACTGCTATTGTTTGTAATATTTTTCAGTGTGTGTGGTTGTGTCCTTATGTACGGCTTCCACATGCTTCCATGTAGGACATATTAAAAAACCCAAAATCAAATAAAGACGTGTAAATGAATGTAAAATAAACATCTTATGATCTGTTATAAATATTCTTATTATATCATTCATGTTCTGCGGATTAATTGCATGTTGAATATCATTTTTTGACTGCACAACTCCACAGATGGTGAGTGATAAGCCTTCTACAATTTAAACTGAATACTAATATAAATTATCCATATAGAATGAGTCGTCATAAGGACTATACAACGAGAAAAAAACATACATCCACTTAGTATCGCTAGATTCTTAATATACTGTGTGTATAGCTTTATCACTTACCCATTAATCTAGGCTCTGGCTAACCCAAACATATTTCACCAAAGAATGCCTACTTTGATAGATGACTTGGTTTAACATGCATGCAACAATGGATTGACGTAACAAAATATCTCTGAAAATTTTAAGTAACTTTAGTGATACGAACCTTGATTACGAACAGCTGTGACAAATTTTCTCAGTCACATTAACTGATCCAGCGAAACACAAGTTAGCTTCAGGCGAGTGACGCAACGCACCAAAACATATGACAGGAAAAACCAGCAAATAGAGAGATTTCATAGGATGGTTTGTAAATAAAATAACCTGTCAAAATACTTTCTTTAACCAAAAAATACACGATTTGATGCACTGTTTTTATGACAACATGAAATACACCTCCACTTTGCACCAGGGATCAAGACAACTACTGCCACTGTCACTAGAAAAGTGCAGGTATTTCTAAGCGATTGCCCATGCAAGATACTATAGGTTCATTGATCAGTGAACATAAGTAATAACATACTCTGTCAGAGAACAAATCAGGTGCTAGTTGAGGAAGAAGTCAAGAAAAGACCCTGGAAGTAGATAGGATATGTCGTGTGAAAGCCACCAACCTGAATCACATAGGAACTATTATACTCAGAACTGAATGTCTGCATGCAGATAGAAAGCTGTTCGAATTTCACATAAAATAAAAAAAAGGGTAGTAAACAACAAAATTAATAGCAAATATCATTTAACTGATGTCACTTGAAATGATCGTTTTGTGAACATGCACGGTTTGCCTTGACAAGATGAAGAGAATTGTAGGGCCAGCTATGTGTTAAAAAGTAATCCAAGCAAGCAGTACCGATTCTATTAAAAAGGTTTGATAAGCAGTATGGTCAAATACACCAAAATATTTATTATAAAGCTTTAAACTAGTCAACTGTTCTACTGTGAATATTTCAGCTGGTTGAAGGTATTGGATGTTGAAGTTTCTGCGCTTGTTTGTTTATGCTGTGTACCAAACGTCGGCAACCCAATTGATGCTCGCAATATGTCAGCTACTGACCAAATCCGTGCCCTTCTGGATGAATATATGGGAACAACCCGAAATGGTAAGTTATCTCCTCAATGTTTGTTGCTTGATATGTATTGTCAAATGGCCCACGACTTTCTAAGTGCGTAGATAAGGTTTTTCTGAGCTTTGCACTCAATTTGTCTCTTCATTATTTTTAAGGTGTTCATGAATGTGTTTGTGCGGTTGAATGTCAATTCATGTAAGTAAAGGGTCTGAGGGTTATTTGATGGTTTAGATGTTAAATGTAAATGCGTTAATTTTTCCTATTCTATGAAAATTGTTGACCGCATATACTGGTAACGCCTATTTAGGACAAGAACCAAGGATAGAGTTTGATAATCCTCGCGTCTGTAAAAGTTATCTACTGGATTGTTGTCCAAATGAAATATTATCGGGAACGGTAGGTTTTTGATTTTTTTAACCATGTTTAGCGAATGGACTTGGGAAACTGTCTTTTCATACATGATCCTGCTCATAAGGCAGATTATCGCAAAGAACCAGACACGAAAAAATTCCAATATGAGCTTGATGTAAGTTAATTTGATATCCGCATATTTAGAAGGCACTAGAGCATTTAGAGGCATTCATTCGGGACTGCGATCAACGTACGGATGTTGCGAAGGCAAAGCTACGGGAGACCCAGGAAGAATTAACAGATGAAGCTTCACAAAAGGCTGAACATATAAATCAACTAAGCGAGCAAATAGGAACAAAGTTAGCTAAGGCTGAACAACTTGGCGCAGATGGCCACGTTGAGGAATCTTTGAGACTTATGAAGGAGGTTGAAGAATTGAACTTGGAAAAAGCGAAAAGTGAAGCAGATTTGCGGACTGCAATTCCAACAAGCACTTACCAGCAACAGAAGCTTCGGGTCTGTGAGGTTTGTTCTGCTTATCTTGGTGTGCACGACAATGATCGTCGACTTGCAGACCATTTCGGAGGAAAATTGCATCTGGGTTTTATTGAGATTCGGCAAAAATTAGCTGAGTTGAGGCAGTATGTGAACGAAAATCATATTGTTCGTAGGCGCAGGTTTGAAGGGTACAACCGATCCATTTTTATCACAGTGGAGGAGAGACGTGAGAAAGAGCGTATTCGCGAACGCGAACGTGAGCTTGAAAAAAGTGAACGTCGACAGAAATCGAGAAGTCGTAGTCGTTCACGGAGTCATTCTCATAGTCGAAGGCATAGTCGTCACCGTAATGGAAAACATTCCCACAGAAGTAGAAAACGACATCATCGTTCTTCCAATCGAAAAAGTGAAGATCGTCACTGACAGATATTTTGACACTTGTATAATATTATCTCCGATTCCTAACCTGTATTTATTTTTTGTTCTTTAATGCATCGTCCAAGTAAACTCGTTTCTGTGACTTGCATCCAGTTTTGTTTTATACATTGAATGTTTTATATAATTCTTTTAAAATATTTTACCATTCGGTGTTTATCATCATCGCGGAAATAGCAACCTATGTAATCGAATACTCGTATGAACCAAAGTGGTTTGATTAAAAGACTACTCAAGTCATACGCCATGCCAATCCTGGGGCCTGTTTAGTCCTTTAAATGGGACAGACCGCCGTTACTTTTTTTGAGCTACAAATAGGACCAATGATGTAGGTAGCAAGTGACTAGTCATACACCGTGCGATATAACCATGTACGGACATGTCCCCTTAACCTTGTATCAGGAGCAAGTATACGACTCAGCTGTCTGAAGTGGGTGTATGGAAGGTTGATCATGTTACACAAAATGGTGTCACTACTCTGACCGGCGTATAACAGTAATAAAAAAACCGAATGTGCTGCATTCGAGTGGTTATCTCATTTCATCAGAACCCGCTAGTTGTACATATGGGGAAGCAAAGGCACGAGGATTCGATTCCTGTTTCCGTGGGTTCGCTCAATAAAAATTTCGGACACGTCACATACTGACCTAGAAATACTTGAATACAACTTGCTTATTGTTTCCGTTTTGAGTTCACTTCCACCTGCTTCAACACCTTATGCTAAAATTTTAAACTAACGGAGCATTCGTAATTCCCTGAAGCCTCACCATTGGTCCATGGTCACTAAAATTACCGAAGGAGCTGTAGATGACGCTTGGCGGCAAATTATGTGCCTCAATAACTTCGACACCTGAATAAAGAAGGGAAGTAACCCGCCAAATGTTAAACGATGCCAACTCCAAATCGGACTACATCTAATTTTCCCGTATCTTAGTAGGTTAATGAGTAAGGGTTAGTATGCACAGATGTGAATCACTTATTGTTATTGAGACGCGAATAGGACTGAGTAGCGTACGGTACGTTGGTTGTCATAACTGTAAAGTTCGGGTCCCGACTATCACATGCGGACGGTCCCCGCATAGGACTGGACTTGCTTGAGAGTAAACGTCTCGGAAACTGTCTTGTTTCCATGCTCCTCAATCGTTTAAATGTATACTTCAACTGACCAGATGAACTGCGGAATTGCTGATGCATCTTCATTTCCACCTCACGTAATGAGTTCTAGCTAGGATAAATCAGTTTGTGACCATTCTTAAATCTTGGGCTAGTGTATACTTCTGGCTAGTACAATCCGTGTCGTTGACCACCAGTAGTGGTTGCGTTTTCCTGCTAATCAGGAAACGACCACATCCCATACCAGTCTTTTCTATATCATTTAAAGCCTGCTGGGAATGAGGTTTTGAAGATAGTAGGTCACAGATTACCAGTACTTAATGATTGATGCTTGCTTCCGGTGAGTTCGAGTAATTGGCCTAGACGTTGCGAGGAAAACACTACGCTCTTGTCGGACCTTACTACTTAGGAAGGCATTAAGACGTACAAGTGATTAGGCGAGGACCCAATGCTTTGCGCACCGACCTGGCTGGGAAGGGGTACGAATCCGCAAAAACCTGGAGAACTTTCAGGTTGAAACATAAAATGTCTATGAGGCTACTGACGCTTAAACTTGGCTGTGCGGACTAGCTTAAGGTTTAGGCTCTGGTTTCATATGATCATCTGATTGACAAGTGACAGCCTGAAATCAGTCATAATGGTGATGCATTTGCTCTTTCTTTTCAGCCGTAAGCATATTCCACATAATCCCTCAATTCTATGCTATGCCTATTCCTGCACGTGTTCAGCTTGCATGTATGTCTTCTTATTTGAACTGGATCCACACGGATTGATAAACACATCCTATTGTCCATGCATGTCATTCTGTGGGAACTAATTCTGATTCGTTCTCACAAACCAAGATGTCAATGTATCTACTAGTTCCTAAATCCTAAGTTCATAGGTGTCGTCGCCAAGGTTTGACTTGATAATTTCAAATAAATTGGGCGTTGGGTAGGCTGCTATGGGTGGAGATCTGTTTCTAATATCTCGATGAGTAGAACAATTAAGTTTAATTAGTACTATATGAACTTGGGTCAATTTAATTTGTTTGATCATCCTCTGAAGTAGTTTGCGTCGAGCCTCGAAACATCAGGAACCTAGACTTAATTTTTCTACCTACTGTGATACTACATATACATTATTTTCTACTCCCTAAGTCCAGTTTAGTTTGCCCAAGTACCCATTCATACATAGCATTCTATTTACTGTTCTCGAACGATATATTCAATATTTGCTCCTTCCTACTATCATTGTTATTACGATTACTTCGACTCAAGTGATATTCATCTTGTCAATTCTACTTCAATGCTAGTGTAGTATGACAACTTCATCTGACATCGATGCCAGGGTGTTTATGAATGACTGAGTTAACTCTCGCAACCTCTCAACTTAGCTAAGATCGTGAGAAATTAGGTCAGAGGTATAAATTTAGCGAACAATATTCAAAGTGCTACACAAAGATCCTGTTGTTCTGACACACAGGCGAGAATCAGTACGTGTATTAACTCATTAGATTGTGCAAACGAATTTCCCCGTTTTCACTGTCAGTATTAAGCGGGTGCAGTCATTGAGGCGAGATTTCAAAAAGATAGTCAGATTTTTTGAGCCAGGTGAGGGGTGTTTGACAAAGTAAATTCTCGACATCGTAGACGGGATTACAAATAGATAGATACAAATAGATATGTTCACGACCCATCACCGACACCACATGGGCGCTAACTCAGCTTTGTGAAATACTCAGCAATGTACAATAACATGGACCTCAATAAGGATATCCCCACCATTTTTTAAATTATTCAATCTAACTGAAGGTTCCTGTAAACGAAAGCTTTTCATACTTGATGTATAGCTATTGACTTCATAAATGTTGCATTAGGGATTGTAAACACCGTCTCTGCTTAAACTCAAAAATAGGGCATTTTAGCTAAGGAATTCTGTGTAAGGTCTTTATTCGCTTAGACTACGGGAAGAGTAATTCATGGCCGCAATAGAATATAAAAGGTGCAAGTTGAAGAATCCTGTTAAATAAGCAGACTACAGTGCTTATCTAGCCCCAATAAGTCGGCGTACGGAGGATATAATTCTGGCTTGAGAAGTTTCGATAAATCTCAAGCATTTATAATTAATTAACGGATTAGGGAAGCTTATCAATTATATTAACTTGAGAACGATAATTAATGATTCTGAATCACCACGCATTTATAGAATATTCAAAGTTGTGTCGTGCCTATCAATAATTTATAGAGGCCTTCAGGTCTATTCATTGCTCCCAGTTTAGACAATGCGGTTCAATTCCGTAGTAATATATCCTCAAAACCTTGATACAGGGTAGGATCGATTAACAGGGCATTGAGTATTCGTAGTCAGTAGTTTTACTCGGGTGTTATCAAACCCATCAACAGGTTGGAGAGATATCGGGTTAGGAAAGCTGAGGCTTTCGTGTAACATAGACACGAGTTTCTCAGGAAATGTGTTACCTGGCGAGATTGGGTATTGATCCCAATGGCTGGCAAAATACAAAATGAGTTTCATAAAGTTGTGTTCTTTTCAAGTTGTTTTTAATACAGGTTCATTCACCTAATCACGACAAAGCGTATGCTAACTATAACTTTGTTTTATATCCATATTTGAAAAAAATTTCATCATTACGCGCAACGAATGTTAAGACAGTATTTTCAAAGTTAACATAACCAAACTACTGATTTCCCTTAAACATTTAAATATATGTTACTATGAAACAACTTCAATTGAAGACCTAGTGATATAACATGACAAGGTTCTGAAAAAAGATAGCGATATTCTTCTATGAGCTCAAGCACCCTTCATAAATTGAAAAGTAGCGTGTTCAGGAGAACAATATCTACAATAATATATGGTCTAGAGTGTTTTTAGTAGTAATTAGAAGTGTTTTAATATTTCACCAGTATCTTAATTCGAAGGTTCAGCTTTTTTAATTGAATGATACACATGTTCCACAATATCACGGGGTGTGTGCAATTTTTCGGCGTCCACATCACTTATTTCAAACCCTGAAAAAAGTTAAGGCACAAAATAGGTGAGATATAGATAGACTGACAATGTACAAAAACAATAGACGAACTTAACTAGGAAAAATGAGTTATAAAAAACAATATAGGTAGTATAAGCTTGATAAACTAAACTACGTAGAATGTTCCGAACAGTACTGGTAGTTTATAAAAAGGAATAACACGTGAATTTACTTGCTGGGAATACTTGCTTCGTAGGCAATCTATTTATTTACTTATCTGAGCACATAATCATCGGTATAAGGGAGCACCAAACACATATGCACCACACAATAACAATGAGAATGTGAAGAGATAGAGAATGTAAAGTGCGTATTATAAGAAGAATAACAACAACGAACAGTGTACGAAAATGGAATAATAATAATGGGAGAGGCAGTCTCATTGGCAAAAATACAGTCAGTAACAACGTAGAACTTAGTACGTACGTACATCAGTTCGAGTTGCCATACCACATTAGCACAGAGATGCAGTGGTCGATTCAAATCCCGTAGTGGTGGAGGTAGCAAGAGTATAAGCAGTAATCGGGAGGATTAGGGTTTGGAGATGTTATTTAACGAGTATAATCCAGTGAAATAAATTTGGAAAGAGGAAAAAAAAAGGGGCATGAAGAATTCAGATAATTAGAATTTGGGAGAACATAGAGAGTGGATGCACATGCGCCATTGCAATCGATTTTGAGCCATGCCATTCAGGGTCTCTAACCATCGGTTGCTATCATCTCGCGGTCCCCAACCAGGTAGTCTACACCTACCAACATGACCCAGTTCACTTGTCAGTGACTTCATGGATTTGTGCCATGTTTTGGTTTGGCCGCCCGCGTCGCACGTCGAGGCAGTCGGTCGTTGGGCATACGTAACACGTGTCCCAGCCATCTCAACTGATGAAGTTTCACTACTTCATCAATTGATTTGCCATCCTTACCTAGTACCCGTTTCCTAACAGCTGCGTTACTTACTCGGTGGTCCCAGGATATACGAGCAATACTTCGAAGACACCTATGATCAAATACTAGTAACCTACGAATATCCTCTACTCTTACCGGCCATGTTTCACAGCCATAAAGTAAGACGGAACGAACTGCTGCGCAGTAAACCCGTCCTTTGGTTGATAGGCGGATATCTCGCCTACGCCATAAATGACGCAAGTTGGCAAAAGCTAGTCGAGCCTTCTGTATCCGTGCTGAGATTTCGTCACACACCAGACCACAAGGGCTGATGAGACTTCCAAGATAAGTGAAGCGGTTGACACACTCAACTACTTCACTCCCTATCACTAGTTCGGGTATCGATGTAACCCAATCCTGAAGCAACATTTTGCATTTCGAGGGAGAGAATCGCATCCCGAACATGCTTGCATTGTTGATTAGAGTGGTCAGAAGACTCTGCATTTTGTCAGCGTCTTCACCAAATAAAACTATGTCATCTGCATATTCTAAGTCAACAAGTGAACCTCCCGGTAGAAGTTCAACCCCCGGAAATTTAGATGAGGAGAGTGTTATCTCTAAAAGTACGTCGACCACAAAGTTGAACAAGAATGGGGAGAGTGGACAGCCCTGACGAACACCACTTGAGGTAAACAATTCTGATGACAGTTCGCCATAAGCTCTCACTCTACCAGATGTGTTCGAGTAGAGAGCCTTTATAAGGTTAATGTACTTCTTTGGTACTCCTTTCAGTGACAAACACTGCCATAGAACCTCACGGTCAACAGAGTCGAATGCCGCCTTAAGATCGAGAAATACTACCATTGTGGGGCGTCTGAATGTGTGTCTGTGTTCTAGAACCTGACGTAGTGTGAATATCTGATCTATACAACCACGTCCAGGTCGAAAACCGGCCTGGTTTTCTCTAGTTTGCTCTTCACGAGCTTTGATTAGGCGTCGAAGTATTATTGAAGCTAATATTTTAGACACTATATTAGTCAAACTGATTCCTCTGTGATTGTCACAAGAGGACTTTTGTCCTTTCTTATAAACTGGTACAATCAGTGATTGAGACCAGTCAGATGGGATTACGTCCAGTTCCCAAATTCTACCTAAGACCTCGGTTAATCTCATTGCTAATACTGGACCACCATCCTTAAAAATCTCAGGAGTAAACCTGTCAGGGCCTGCTGCTCTCCCTCGTTTCAGATTTCCTATGGCTTTTTCAACTTCATAAAGAGACGGAGGACTTACATTAACTTGCCATTCAGGTTGACTGGAGATCGTGGGAAACCGAAGTGTAGCTGAAGGCCAGTTGAACTGATCCCTAAAGTGTTCTGCCCATCGATCCAATCTCCTGGATTGAGAATGAATAATATGTCCATCTTTCTCTGCGATTGTTTCGCTAACAGTCGGGTTCCTAATTCCGGTTTCCTTAACGAGTCTAAACAATTGTCTGCTATTACCTATTGCCGTTGCCTTTTCCATCTCTCTTGCTTTCGCTACCCACCACTGTTCGCGATCATTGCGTAGACTTCTTGTCAGTTTGCGCTTAAGTTGACTCCGCTCTTCACTATGTTCAGAGCCAGGTGGAATGAGTTTCCGAGCATCTATCAGTGCGATAGATGCTGCTGAGATCCAGTGTTGCTCCCTAACCTTGTGGTTTACCTTACTAACAGATATCACTGCTGTTTCCACAGCTTTTCGGATATCATTCCATGCTGCCTCGGGGTGGGCATCACATACATGGCTGCCTAACTGTTTTCCTAGTTGTTCCTGAAATACACTCTTAGCTTGACTATCATTAAGTAGGCCCCTAAGAGGTTTCCTTGCAGCGTTTTTCATACGTCCAGTAAGACGCAAGCAAATACGCGCTCGTACTAGAGCATGATCTGAATCTAGGCATGTGCTCCAAAATGAGCGACAGTCTTCTATCGAGCCCCTCCATCGGTGGCTGATAGCGATGTGATCTATTTGGGTCCAACGTTGGGACGAATTAGGGGGTCGCCATGTTAAAAGATGTTTTTCCTTATGCTTAAAGTTAGTATTTGCAAGGAACAGGCGGTTATCTGAGCATAGCTGCAACAGACGGTCGCCGTTATCTGTTCTTTGAGCCACGACACCATAAGATCCACCTAGGTGTCTTTCCCTATCGCTCAGTTTACCTACTTGAGCATTAAAGTCACCGGCCACTATTACTACGTCCGAGCGCTTAGCTTTTCGGAGAAGGTCCGAAAGCTTTCTGTAAAACTCATCTTTTACATCACCTGAGCTGCAGTCAGTGGGAGAATAGGCAGAGACGACGAAGAGGCAACGACGAGTGTCCCTATCTTTCCGGATTCTTACTGTTCCGTTCAGTCGGACAGCGCACAAACGACTGTCTACTGAGATCCACTCTAAGAGAGCTAGTTCTGCCCTAGGACTCAATGCTATACCTACGCCGGCGAGGCCACGGGAAGCAGAATCAGGGCTTCCAGATACACGAAGCGTAAATCGAGTCGGTTCTTTATTTTGGCATGGTGAGGTCAAATGAATGATGCTACTTGGATCCTGTATGCGCGTTTCGGAGACGCAACACACATCGATGGCGTAAGATTCTAAAGTCCTAGCTAAGGAAGCCTGCTGTCCTATTTGGCACAGTGTTCGGACGTTGAAAACTCCTACGTGTAGTTTAGAGCGTGGTTTCAGGAGACCAGGAATAGCGTTCCACGTACTCGAATCGTTTGCCCTAGCGGTGCGAGGTGATAAAGAGACGTGAGGAGGGTTAGTCATGGAGATAAGAGAGGTATTAGGAGGTGTAGGAAGGATTTGAATGTGACCAACTTGGTCTCGCGTGCTGTTACGGGTATGAGGGCTGATGTCACTTCCCGGCTGCCCACACCGTGAAAGGGTATTTCTTGAGGAACCTGAAAAGGAAATTGGATTAGTGTTGGTCTTAACGACCTGGGAGCGTGACCGCAGAGCCCAAGGGACAACTGCTTGAGGCCGGTCGCGCACGGCCTTTTTGTAGAAGGTTTTTGACGTGTTAGCTCCGTTCTTCAGATGGCCTTACCGCCGGAGACGGAAATCCGTGAGGTAAGGTGAGGCGTGACATTTTTAGGGTCGACCTTTTCTAACCCCACCCCTCCTTGTGGGAGGGCAGCATCGCTGTCATGCTGATTGTCCGAAGGAAACACCTTACTGCTGTCACACCTCTGTACAGTCAGCAGTACGACTTCGCCCTCAGACTTTGAGTTGCTGCTTTTAGTCTTACCGTTCACCAATCGACCTGCCTGGCATGGTAGAACCTACAGGAACATATGTTCCAGCCAATATAGCTCGGATGGGTCATCACGATAGGCAAGCCCGACCACCACGTCAAGGTAGCAGCTTCGGTCGGCAAAAATACAACCAGAAGGGAAGCTACGTTCATTTTTTATAGAGAAAGTCACAGCAGAATCAACAATGGCTTCTATTCTGAGCCATATTTGATAGCGTCTCTAGCCACCATCTCTAGAACCCCAACTAGGGAGTCGTGAAAGACCAAGAGAAGCCAGTCCTGAACGGTTTTCTCTCACACCAAGCCATAAACTGACCACTCCTTCGTTTTTTTCAACCGGTCCTAGTGTCGGCAAATAAAGCACGACGTAGAACATGTCCAAGCCACAGAAGTCGGTGTTTCGAGATGGTGACATCAATTACATTATCGTCTCTGTGCCCGAACACACGACACCAAACCTCTGCATTACTAACATGGTGTTGCCACTGGATATCAGCAATCCTTCGGAGACAGCGATGATCGAACACAGAGAGTCGTCTAACGTCCTCAACTCGGAGAGACCATGTTTCACAAGCATAGAGCACAACTGCTCTCATCGACGCGTTGCTAGTGCTATTATGTCGTTTTTATTCCGAATTTCAGATAAGTCTCTACATTCTGCTAAGAACTTGAATTTTGCTATATGCATATGAGGTCAGCAGTCGTCATATTAATATGGGTAACAATCATATTTAAGTTTTAGACAAAACAAACAAACATAATAACGCGCAGTGCGCATAAGTGCCTTAGTTGTTAGGG